ATGATAAAACAACGTAATTTTATTGACAGATTGTAATCATGTGATTTGGGGTTAATGGTTAGGATTAGAGTTAGGATTAGGGTTAGGATTAATTTGAAAATTTGAAATAAAGTCACGTGATTGTCAAGTATAGCTTTTCCTAACCATACTAAAAAATTACATCCTTTTATTAATAAAAATAACCATGAATTTATGATAAAATATAACTTTGTCTGCTTCAATCATGCCTGTTTAAATTCAAAGCAGACTGCTTTAAAAGTTTATATGAATATATTTTATAGTGAGGCTGGAAATAATGAATCACCTTTCTTCTTACTTCAACTTGCTGAAGAGGTTACATCAGCTGGTCAATGGAATATTAAGCTTGTAGCAGATTTTGTTAAAAATAAGGGTTCAAAATAAAATATGGGAATACCAATTCTTTATATTTAGTCTGCCCAGAAGAATATTTCCAAGAATGTGATATAGCTTATGATAATGAAAATGGGATCTTGAAAGAAAAATACTGGAATGAAATGATAAAAATTTCAATGAGAGTAATGGGGGAGCTTTGTGATGAGGTAAATGAATTTCTGAAAGAAGATAACAGATATACTTATCTCAAAATAGCTTATGAAGAGATTTTATTTCTAGTAGTATTTACAGGTAAGAAAAAATATTATGGTATTAAATATATAGAAGAATCTAACTTTGATCCAAATTCAGATAAGCTATTTATTAGAGACGTAGATATTGTGAAATGAGAATAGTCTAAGCTTTTTTGCAAAATAGGTAAGGAAATTATGCGAGAATCTATAGAAATTGATAATAATAGAATATTATACCAGATTATTGAAGAGGTTCTTAAAAATATGGTGAAATATTCATCTCAGATAGATATTAATGAATGTATTCAAACTTATACTTGGAAACCTGATAAAGATAATAAGTCTGTTAAACATTTCATCTCTTGAATTAAATCTAATTATGCTCGTGAGGTTGAGGAATCCAAACAGCTTATAAAAAAAGAATTAATACCTGATCCATATCTTTATAATATTCCAAAACCTGGAAAGTGTTTTGAGTGTATAGTGGTAAAAAGAGAAGATCAATATGATGAGTATGGGAAGAAAATATCATGGAAAGTAAGGAATTGTATGGAATATCCAGATGTGGTGAAAAAACTTAACAAAAAGATAGATATTAATTATTATCTGAAGAGTGTAGTTGGTCTCTGTATCAGATTTATAAATAGTGATAAATATTTTGAACCACCTACTGATTATGAATCTTTAATAAACATTACTGCTCCTAATGAACTCTGAACAAAAAAGAATGAATTAGAACAGAAATCAGCAGAGAGATGGATTAAGAAATATATTAAAGATTTATGTGATGTACCAAAAAAAGATGAAGCTATTATCTCCCATTTATGGGAAAATGTTACTATACATGCCAAAAAAATATGTCTTGATATTAGTAAAGCTAACATAATCAGGCCTTCAGGGTCCTCTACTAGGTATAATAATTATCTTAATGCATTAGATAAAATTGCAGATTCTATTCATTTGAAATTATTGGATCTACTTTCAAAATTGTCTAAGCTTAATGTAGAATATAGAAATGCGATGTATGATTTAATTATGCAGGCGTAAAAATGCAAACTCAAAATTGCAATTCTGGAACAATATATATTTCTATATGATTTGGAATTAGAGTATCGAGAATTAATAGATTTTCAGAATACATAGCATAGGGTGGTTGGCCTTGAAATTATTCAGCTTCAAGCATTATCAATTATATATGATAGTAAAAAAGATGACTCATCAGACATCGATGATATCATTGACCTATATTATTAAGTATTTTTAGCTAAGATCACCACAATTAACTAAGATATTTATACAATATTAATAATATTTTTTTGTATATAAATAATATCCAAGTTTAAATAGATATTCGCCTGATCCACATATCTCACAATCGATCACTTTTTTTATGACCCTTTATTTTAAAGAAATAGTGAATCAGAGATTCAAGACTTTATCTCTTTTTTGAGCCTAGAATCACTCCTTTAGGCCTGCAGAGTAATGATGCTTCAAGCCTATCTACATTCCATGTATATCTCACAAACTATATAATCACAATAATTAACAAAGCAAGTAACATATATACCGATAGTGGTGATATTAAAGTGCTTGCCATAGCAGAAAGAGGCAAAGCCTCGAGATTAGATTTTATCACTCCTATTCCTCCTATTGGAATCTGAGAATTTGATTCAATTAAAGTGAATATATTATTATCTGGTTATATAAGGTGTAGAGTCGCATTTTGAGGCATAGTCTCTGATGTATTGGATTTTATCAATATATCTAGTATATCATTCTTGTTAATTTCACTAATATTAGTTCCCTCATTTATCTTAGGGCTGATCTCGGTACCATTTTTTGATAGTTTAGTAATTTTATCATTAGTATATGTCAAGATATCATTATCAATTTTTTCAGTTTGATCCATACTTTTTCTGCGTATAAAATACTTACTTAGATTTTTGCTAGATTTATTAGACACGTAAGTGTCATGATTTAAAGAAGAGACAGAGTCTCAAGGAAGCTGAGCTTTGAGTCTTTGACTCATCTCTGATTCATGGCCTAATGGCCTACTTTACAATACTATAGATATATCATCAGGCTTAATTATGAAACTTTGTTCCTCGCATAGCATATTTTTTTTATTATTTCTACCAAGTACGGGGTTTGATATAGCCTCTGATTTTAGATACTCAAGTTCACTGACTTTCGAAGCTAACTCATGTTCTACTTCAGCTATTTTTGATTTGAGAGATAAAATCTCGAATTCTTTTTTTGATGAGCTATTCTGAATCAAAATTATATTTTTCTGGGCTGAAAATAACTTACCTTCCAATATCTTGATCATAGACTCAAGTGATCTAATTTTCTTAGATTTTATATCATTCTCAGCTTTGGATTTTGCAAGAGAAATATCTTTATTAGCATTTTCAATCTGTAAATGCCTAGCTTCATCAATGAGTTCAAGATCATAAGTACGTAATTTCTAGATTATAGTATTGGACCCATCCAGTTTCTGACTCTATTTTTTTCTCTTCTGTTCCTAACCTCTCCATTCACGATCAAAATTTTGCTCTTGCTTTATATATCTATCTTGTAATTTTTTATTATAAGAATTTAACCCCGATATAACTTTTACAATATGAGATTCTTTATCTTGTGCATTAGCCATATATTTTGGCTAAACTATATGTAATAAAATTAAGATAAATCATAAAAATTTCAATTATTAGAAAATGTCTAAAAGATTTCAGTTAAATAAAACTTACCTTTCATCTGAAGTAATTTGTGAGATAATAAATAGTAAAGATATGCAAAATGCAATATTGATTTTAACTAGAAAGTATCACATATCACATACACATATTTATATTATATGGAAATTTGTAGATATAGTAAATAATTAGTACAAATGTTTACACATATGAAAAATTTTTTAAATATTCTGAAGCATATACAAATATTGTGAAATATTTTAAAACGTATCAATATATATCAAGTTATAGCAAAATATTTCAAAAATTTTCTTTATTTTTTTAATAGTTCATAAACAATAAAAATATTCTGATATGGGTCATATTCATAAAGAATATTATAGCGCTAATGTAAGATATTTATCAGATGAGGCCATCAAAGATATTAAAATATTATTCAGTAGGATATCTGATGCCATAAATACAATAGCAAAAAAATATCATATATCTATTTCTCGAGCCAAAGAATATATTGAGAATCAGGAATGTAAACAGCAAATGATAGATTCTTATTCATCTCAGGTACAAAGTACAATTTCTTCCAAAATAACATCTATATCTCTAGATCCAAAGGGTCATTGCTTTGCAATAAATAATCAATTAGAAGATAACTATATATCTTTATTGCAGGGCAAGTCATTAGACAATTCTTCAAATCATGGCTCTTTGAGCTTACATACTTCAGTTAAAACTTCAGATAGACAGATAAAAAAGAGGTGATCAAAATCCAAATCTATTTGAGTTTCTGATTTATCCACTATTAATGATATCCAAATTGAGCAAGCATTAAATGAGGGAGAGAAATAAATAGAAGAGTCAGATCATAAATTAAATAGTCACTTTATCTTTCTCTAGCAATTCTTAATCAGTTTTCTCTTTATTTATAGTTTTGTATTTTGATAATAAAAGTCTGTTACAAATATTAAGCTCAGTAATGATTTTGATAGCCCTCTTACAATTTACGCATTTTTTTTTAAAGTTAAATTATCAGAATCTAAGCTAAAATTCATAGGAGTATGTCATTCTTCCAATGGATCATTATCACTCTTATTACTATCCGTCTCTTGAGAAATTTGATTGGATACCAAAGACTTATTATTTTGAGCTATAATTATGCAATTTACTTTGAGTTTGTTCTTGATCTCATGCATATTAATTAGAATAAAATGTTTCTTACTATTACATACAAGTTTCAATAACCATTTCGATGTGAGTAAATCATAATCATATTTATCAAGTAATGGATTAGGTAAAATTAACATTGGTTTGTGATATCTAATTACTGCAAAGTCAGAATGTATAATACAACCTAGAGCAAAGGTTATTGATACATTATGTACGGTTCTAATTAATTCAATATGAGTGGCAACTCCACTAAGCTTATATTTTTCATCTGGATTTATTTTTAATTTTGCACACTTAGCAATATCTTCAGTCATAATAGGAAAATTAGCGAGTGAATCAATTCCGCCTGCAGGAATAACTAGATAATTAATTTTACATTTCACAGTAACAATATCTATAGCAGGATCTTTTCTCTGAACAAAATCAATTTCCATAGGATCATTCAATATCTTTTCATCTTCTGAATCAGGTATTGCTGGAATTAGTTCTTGGTAATTTATAAAATCTGGAGTAGTTAAATATTTGTCTTCAGATTTAAGTTTCTCTAACTGATATGGGAGTAAGATCTTTTTAAGCATATCTAACAAAATTCGACAAATATTCTGCTCAAGGGTAGTCACTTTATTTTGAAACTTACTAGAGGTGGCAACATCTTTCTGTTTAGTCTTATGGGATTTAGGTATTTTCTTAGAGGATGATCTACCCTTTTGCTTTACTTGTTTTTTTTTATTTTAGAAAAGTATACATCAAAACTATGATTAGATTCAACTTCAGATAAGGAATTTCCAGAATCGGAGTTATTATCTGAAGAATTGTTATTGAAAGTGTTTGTATCTGAACCTGAATCTATAGCAACCTTATTAACACTGCCTCTTTTTTTGGATCTACTCTTTGATCTTTTCTTATAAGTATACTTACAAAAATTATATCCAATTCTATTATAATTCAAATAATAGTGTTTGGATGATTTAATAATAGTATTAACATCTGCTTCAATACCTTTTGCTATAGCCTTATTTATTGATAATTCTGCCATACTCTTAGTAATTTCATCCATATCATCATTAGAAGTATTTTTTTTCTTATTGGGTAAGAAAGGTATAATTCTATCCATTACTCCTTTACTAATAGTATCCATTAATGATTGTAAAGTAGATGGCCCTGTTAAAGCACTAAGATAATCTGTTGCTTCATCTATTCGAAGCCATTCTTGATCATTCAAGTGTAGATTTGGGTCCCTATATTTTTTACCTAGTTCCATTTGACTGGATCATAATAATTGTCCTTCTTGTCTTTGAGAAGTTGGTTGTGTAGACTGAGGAAGAGTGATTAGTATTAAAGCTAATTGTGATTTTATCATATCTATTTTAGCTTGAGTTATATCATTATTATTAGAATGAGATTTATTTTCTATATTAACAGCTGAAGTTTGAGAAATTTGATTAGGAATTGAATCTCTATAGCTAAGTGATGATTGACGCTTGAGCTATAATTCTTTAAGTGAATTAAAAAAAGCTGTGATTCTGCCAGAATTTACTCCTTCCATTCAAATAAAAAGCTCAGAAGATAAATGAGCTATAAGAAATCCCAAAGTATTAGCATCATTATCAGGCATATCTAATAGATATTGATGAATTCTAGCTTCATATATTTCTGGATTATCATCAGTCTTAAACATTTCTTGAGATAATCTTTGAATAGCAGACTGGCGAGTACCAACTGTTCTTTGTAGATAGGTATCTCCAAGTCATGCTCTAAAGTGAGCTGGAGTATCAATATTATTTCCTACATGTTGAGATGGAACTGGTAAATACTTTCCTGCCATTTTCGATTTATAAATATCTACCTTATGTGTATCAGTAAAAGTATTGGCATTTGCAGTATTAGCATTAGCAATCATTGTATCAGTATAGCTGATGGCTATTTCAATCCTATTACAATAATCATCTGGTGGTTCCTGTCCAATATATGATAGAATATGTGCAAGACTTATTTGAATAGTTTGATAAATATGTTATTTATCGGTGGCCACCATGTTCAGATTTATAGATTGATTATTCTGTAGTAATAAAATTTGGACTTGTAAATTTAAAATTAATTGCTGAGAATTACATTCCCTATTTTTCCACTTGATATGACTTGCCTTCTGATCCTTGAATTTATTATAATATCTATCAAAGAGCTGATCTTGATTATATTCTAATAATCCTTTATCAGCCTGGCATTGTTGAAGCTTCCATTCTAAGCGATGAATAGATATCTTATAAATAATTTCAAGAGAACGCCTAAGTTTAGACTATTCTTTTAATGCTAAGGTAATATTATATCACAAACACTCTTGCAAATTATATCTTTGTTGTAATTCTCTCTCATACCTTTGACACCTCTATAGTTTAAAATTGAGTGCAAATTTTTCAAGTAATAAAGTATTAATCCGTATCTGCATTCCTCTTTCAAATTGCTAAGCGATCCACCTCCATCTATGACATTCTGTTCACTCATTATTATAAGTTATAGTCATTAAAGTAAGATTATTTTAAAAATTGTTACACTCTAGTATAAGTTAGTTAACATGATTTTGCAAGGTATCTCGTACTTGAATAAGTTAATTAGTTTGGTTCTGAAGATTAGCATTTTGTTATCTATAATAATTAACATCCTACTGTAGCTGGACTATCTGATTATTACTATCATCTCTTTGAGCAATAACGCCATCTATATCCTGGTATGCAGACTGATAATTATGCCAAATAGTATTTAAGGAACCTCTAATGCCATTTATAATATTTATAGAATTATTTAACGGTGTTCCAGCACCTCTAAGGTGATTTTCAATATGAGTCAAGTCTAGTTTGATTTGTATAAAAAGATCAAGATTCTCTATATCTATATCTTTCTCTTCTGAATTATATAAACTTGAAGAGCTTCTTCAAGAAGAAATAACTTTGAATCTATATCTTAGATTTTGAATCCACTCTTCTGATTCTTGTAATTGTTTCTCTATATTATCAATATAGGATATCTTATCTCAGATTTTCTTTTTAGCTTGGTATAAGCTCCTTTTAAGAGATGATATCTCTGATCTCAACTCTAACTTTTCTTCATTTGAAGCATTTTCAAGCTGTTCCAATTCTTTATTGAGAGATTGGATTTTATTTTCACACCTGATATATTTACGTTCCAGATTCTTTATATATTTCTCATTCGATTTATTGATTGAAACTTCATTAGATAACTCATCTCTCAAAGCTTGATTCACCTGCTCCAATTCCAATTCCCAATCAGAGCTTGACCCATGAAATATTTGATTGGAATGTGATTGATGAAATGCTATAGCTATTTTTTATGGCATAATATATTGATACAAAGTAAAGGTATAACCAAAATGAGTATACCTACTATATATATAGATTCATATACTGAGGTAGTTATAGTTTGTCATGTACTCTATTATAATATTCCCGGGTTTTATCTGAATGTGAAAGCTCTTCAAAAGGTGTGCAAAAAAGAAGAGTATAGTCATTTCTGACTTAAAGATATAACAAAGTGGTTAGAAAATCAGTATAATTACCAAATATATCATCATCCACCAAAGATTAAGGCTCAGACTAGCTTTTCTAAATGTCAAATTCCTAATAAATTATACCAATGTGATCTATTATCTCATGTTTATGATGATCAGAAAAAGAGAAAAGTGTATTTACACATCTTGGTGTTGATAGACATGGCAACAAGATTTAAATGTGCAGTAGCGTTGATATCAAAGAATAGTTTAGAAGTTTGGAATGTGATCGAAAAAATATATAATGATCCCAAAAATCCTCTCACATGGCCAGTATTGTTGATGATAGATGGTGTGGGGGAGTTCAAAGAAACATTCTCTCAAGGGATGAAACATTATAATGTTCCTATAAGAGTTATAGATCTTTATAGTTTTAAAAGCTTAGCATTAGTAAAAAAATTCAAACAAGATTTGGCAAAACTTATATATAAAATTTAATATGCTATAGAAGGAAAACTCAAAGAAGGTGAATGCTCAAAATTATGGAAAAAGATACTTCAGAAAATTATTAACTATATGAATAATAATAAAATGCAATTAATCAGTATGAGTTCTGACTATGCTATGATATTGCGAGAAGTGATTCCCAAAGTAACTATCAAATCTAAAAGACCTATTAGGAAAGATGAAAACTGATCTATACTTCTTGTTACATATTTATCGAATTAAAAAGATTATTGTTAGAAGGAATCCACTATAGCCAGTCTTATACTATCTTGAAGATAAGTCTATTGAATCTACTGCTCATTTGATAGAACATAATCCACATTGACCATTCAAGCAAGAAGAACTCCAAGTAATAGAAAATTCTGAAGAAGTCAAATATCCATCTGACAATTTTATACAAAAATATCACCCTTCTGGATTAATACATTTCATTCGTGTTTCTAGTAGTGAATTTGACAGGGTCCAACAATATGCCAAGAAATATGATGAAAGTATTTTAGCTAAAACTGGTCAAATTAATGATCAGAATGTATACCTTTGATCATGTTAGAATGGTAAATATCAATTTGAGTACCTATATTCATTAATAACTACAAAGTTTGAATGATATTCCTTATATTATTATACCACTGAGAGAAATGTAAGATATATTTTTGAAGATCTATTAGGTAAGAAATTTCCATCATGTAAACCATCATTTTTGAATGAGATGCAATTAGATGGGTATAATGAAGAATTAAAATTAGCATTCAAATTCCAGGGTGTTCAACATTACTATTGCAATAGTTTATATCACAAAAATCAAGATGATCTAGATAATTAAAGAAAATGTGATCAAAAAAAGCAGGATATATGTAAAGAGCGAGATATAGATCTTATTGAAATATCGTATTGTGCTGATTTATTCTCATACATAAAAAGCAAATTACAAAAGAAAGATTATCTACAAAATATAGATATATTGTAAATAGCGTATCAAAATCAGATTATTCATTAGAATAAAAAAAAATATAATATATATTTATAACAAAAAGATATTATATTATGTATTTGTCATAGATGAGGTAAAACCTTCAAAAAAATACCAGGGAGATAAAGATGCATCAGCATGGTCTTTTTATATCATGATGACAGGGACTAGCAATTCAGGTAAGATCAATATGAATTTAAACTTGCTAACAATGCCCAAATTTTATTACATATTTAAGAAGAAAAAGCATTCTAAGATAGGAGAACGCAATATTAAATGTGATGATGTATTTCTTTTCAGATATCATTTAAATGAGCCAAAATATAAAATAGTTCAAGATTTTTATAAATATCTTGCCCAAGACAAATCAAAGTCCTATTATAAAGATGTCATATTTTCTACACTATCTTCTGATAAAATCCCAGATCTCAAAAAGTTTAATGCTAAAAGAAGTACATTAGTGATATTTAAAGATCTTTACTCTGATCCTCCAGCTATACAGAAAAAAATTATTTCATTTTTCACTCGAGGTTATCATGAGAATATTTTCTCAATTTATGTTGCTCAGAAATTCCACAAAATCCTAATAGATATTCGTAAAAATGCTACTCATATTGTTCTCTTTAATAGTGGAGGCTCTATTTGAAAACTTGCAGATATTATAAGTCCTTACACTAATGTAGATCCAAAAAAAGCTTCAAAAATTATTGACAGTTATTTGAGGCAAAAAGAGTTTATAGTTATAGATCTGAATAAATCCAGATCTGAGTCTTTCTCACTTCGATGGGACACCCCTCTTGATCTAGAAAAGAAGATCGAAAGATTAAAAAATAATAAACATTCTGCCTAACCAGGGCAAGATTTCAGAAGATATAATACTTTGAAATCAGATAAAATAAGGCATAACAATCAAATAATTATTTTTTCAGTTATTTATTAATACAATAATATAAGTACATCCTACTTACTACTTCTTATATAATTGAGAAGATGCACGTATCTAGCCTAGTATTGAAATTGAGGTGGATGAGAAACAATAACAAGCACGATCTATTATCTATACTAGGGATTTTTATGTTCCATAAAACAGGTTAATATGAAAAAAATCAAAGTAAAAAATGTTACCAGCTCTTAAGAATAATGAATAAAGTCTAAAGTACTAGCCCTCAGGAATACTTAAGATAATTTTATTTTAAATAGATATATTAATCAAATAAATAGATATGTGTATTTATATTTCTAATTGTTGGAGACAGTTACTAAATCTATATCACAATTATTCCTTTTTACGATTTATCTAATCATATGGAATAATATATTTCTGATATATACTAATTTTAAATTCAGCTTTATATGGATATCTATTATATTTTTTTATATACTCAGCATATTCCTTATTAAGACGTGTTTTTAATTGATCTAGAGAATTTGGATTTTTTATTTTTTGTGGAGTTATGCCTAAAAACTTTTTATTATCTGGAGTATTATCATTTGGTAAGTTATTCCATGCAAGTCGTGCATTTGATAGCTCTTTTTCTTGGAATTGGCGAAATGTTCTTTATATAATTCTTGCATATTCATCTTGAGATTTAGATTTATCACACTTATGATCCCAATTTTTCTGCATCAAATCATCTGGCTCGATAATTTTGATATATCTTTTTCTGGTAAAATAGAATAATTTCTTTGGTTTTACATTATCAATATATATAAGTTTCATATAATCTAAATATATTGCTACATTGGATTTATGGATTCTAGGCCTGTAGTAATCATGATTCATTAACTTAGAATTCCCAAATCCACCAAATAAATAATGTACATGATATATACTTCTTTTCTTTTCAGAAACCAACTCTTGTAAAGGAACTCTAACCCGAATAGCCTATTATTATAGAGTTTCATCAGGTCAAATAACTGATAAAGTATCATATCATCTTTCAGTCTCATAAAGATCATCAAAGTATCATTGATAATCATTAATTCTACAATAATTATAGATATATGACTTTACATATTTCATATCATATTCAGGATGATTATTAATGAGCTTAATTGATTTAGCTTTTTTATTAATAATAGTTATAATAAGACCTGACATAATTAGTAATTTATATCAAATTTAGAGATTTAGACCTATTAGTTTTGATTCTTTATAGTATAAGAATATATGATTCATTTTTAGTACAGATCTTGAAGAGTCCTATAGGGCCTGGGGTTATTAGATGAGTTATGTATATTCATCATATTTGCGAGTGATATAATGATGAGAATGGTAGAGATCTATATGAATCTAAAGATTCGCTCCTTTAGGATGATTGTTATATGTATACTAATTAATTTCCCAGTATGACTTAATACTTTATTATATGTCAATGAAACAAAAGACAACTTAGCATATAATAATTAAAAGATCAGACACTAATCATATCTTTAATTTTTTTTAAAAATAAATATATTGAGAGTTAGAGGTTGGCTAAGTAAAATATAGAGAAGCAGGATTTCAAGGGAGGAAATCTGCCAAGCCCTAATCCATATGATGACAGTTCCTTTCCCGCTACTCACTATCTAGATTATTTGTTTTACTATCAATCTATAAACCAATTTGATCTAAAGTACTAATATAATCATTCTTCTTTTTAATATTTCTCTCATAAAACCCTTGTATCATCATCTTCTTAATATTTCCTCCTAATGAATGAATATCTATAGCTATAGAAAGACATATCTCCTTCAAAGTATAATTATTTTTGGTCATGATCTGATCAAAAATTTGCTTAAATTGATTCCAGATGGTCAAACTGATACCCGTGAATGTTAATTATCCTAAGCTTGCAGAGGAATAATTTGAAGCTTGATCTGTGGAATAATTTGAAGCTTAATCTGTGAAATGATTGAAAGCTTGACTCATCACACTTTGTTGATCGAATTCAATCTTTTTAGTTCTTAGAATTATCGCATAACGTTAATTTATTTCACTTTGAAGAGTTATGATAGAGATATTGATTGATTCAAATTTGATTGCAACTCTGCCAAAATTATTATGATAATTTTGAAGAACTTATTTAATCTCATCAAGTCTCACAGTAGAAGTATTAAGTATTATCAAGATTCTTTGGATCTCCACTGTAAAGTTTTCATCACATAAGATGAGTTCAGCATTAAATTTGGCATCATGATTGGCAAGAATTTTATTAAATGTCATATTACGTGCAGAAGGGTCAGAATTATGCTTGATGTTGATATCTTTCTTGGTGATACATGAAAAATAAAACATAGTATCAATGAGTAAGTAAATAGAAATTTTCTTGATGAATATTGATAGGTCTGCAAAATCCAAAAATAGAGTAATCTCTGAAACAGCAAGTAATATTATCTATAAGTGAAAATTGGTCATATTAGTATACATATATGAATGCGGGAGAGTGTCATAGCATATAAACAAATAAATAAATCTTAATCATTAGAAATTAGATATTATTTCAAGTGTATAAATCTTTTTATTTATCATGAATAAGATTTATTAGTGAAGTAAGCAAAGTGCTAAAAATTGTTAAATGTTTTATTCTCTAAAATCGCTAATTATTATAACAAAGAAGTAAAGAGATCTCAGATATTTTTTCTTCGCCTTTTTATATAAAAAAATTACAAATCAGAATTTATTTATAGACTTGGATAGGAAAGAACCAGAAATTGCCAGAACTTTTTATTACAAAGCAGGCCTATAGGGATGACTCAGGTATATTTTTCAAATAAGAGTCATAGGTACCCTCATGCTTTACCTATCAATTAGATCAATAATTGTCTACTCTTATCTTATTGACATTAATAATCAGACTCTGTTACTCGTATCACCAACTTTAATAATTATTACAAATCAATTAATCTTTTAACTAATCTAATTAATTTCTTTTTATAATAGACTCGTCTTTGATCTGCGTTCTTTAATAATGGAAGTATCAAAAAGTATCTCCCAGATTTGCTGATTACTTTTGCTAGAGTTAATGCATGACTTGCTAATTATTGAGGTACTGATTAATTGCATAATACAGATATTTGATCAATATATTACATGCTATATCACAGAATAAAATCAAAAGTTATAAAACTTTTTATGCATAATGTAATCATGTAACCTTCTGACTAACACAAAAAATCAGATTTGAATATTTTCTTTATAAAGAATGCTTTCAGAAAGAAAAAATGCAGATTCTTTTAGAAGGAGAGTATAGTTTTGTCTTTATTTATAATTATTTTTATCCCAATTTCATATTTGCTAAACTTCATACAGAAATGGAGCAGGATTATAAATATCTTGGTTGGAAGGATTTTGGTGTTGAGTATTTAGAGAATAATTGTGACAAAATCAGAAAAGTATGCTTCGCTTCATGATTCAGTTATATAATTAACGCAAATAGTGGGTAATATGATTCTATGAGCAACATGTTTCAAATATATAAGCTGGCTTGTGAGAAAGCTTTACATCATTTCACCAAATCTAGTAGCATTTTACGAGATGCTTATAAAGGATTTTCCAAGGTTTCTGATGTATGTATTATTTTTTATCCTATCTATAGTATTTTCATATGATGATATTCCATCTATTCTGAGAATTAATTTCACATCATCTCCTCACACTTGAGATTTGGGTCCTGATGGTCATTCATGGTGTATGAAGAAATTAGAGATCTGATTAAATAAGAGCGTTGAATAATAAGCAGAATATAGAATTTTTGTATATTGACTCCTCTATTTTTATAGAACAAGTAAAGAATGCAATATATATCAACAGTAGAGGCTATAGAATCAATAATTGACTGAACTACTATAATTTTGCTTTAGAAAAACTTATTACTGACACTAACATATTTTATATATTTCAGATTTTTCTTAAATTCATAAGTCCAACAGAGGAGAATCTTGTCTTTTCAAACAAGAAAAAAATTGGAAAATGATTGATAATGTATTTATATTATGGAAGTTATAATTTTTTTTTGCTTATTCTTACTCGATACATCTGTAGAATAATTTAACCCAAAATAAGATATCCCGTTCATTGCTATTATATGAGTTGAGAGATCTTTTTGAATCCTTCAATACCAGCAATATTGAATGGAATGATTCACTCAGCTTTGGTTATATTGTTAATCGAAACTCAAACATAATTTTTGGAAAGTTGTCAGAAGAATAAAAGAAGAATTTGAGAGAAATTATAAATTTGGCATATGATCAATACAAAACAAGTCCCATTATTTCTGACTTGGTTAAAGTCCTTTTAGAAAAATCAAAGAGCTTGAATAAAAGGGAAATGATAGTTTCATTCTCACCTATACCAGCGAATTTCCAAGGAAATGATGAGGAGTTTGAAGATATATGTGTGATGCATAGGATCATAGACTCAGTGTAGGTAATTGAGCTTCTTTGTTTTGATAATTAACCAATTTCTAATACTCTTATTCTTATAGCTGACATATCTGGTACTACTTTAATGATAAAAACAAGGCTGAATATACTGAAGAGATATATATCATCCGCATAGTATTTAACTTTCTTAATCCACTGTTTTGCTATGAAAATACCAAACTTAAAATCATCTGGTAAAGTTTTAGATAATGTGTAAAATATGAATTTTTATCAGAGGCAGTCACATAATGACTATAATAAGTTTTACATAAATTATAACAAGGCCGAAGAAGTTTTGGAGATATCTCAACATTAGATGAATAATTCTGGAGAAATCAGAATTGGACACAAGCCCAATTTTCATGTGAAATCTCTACTGATTACTGGTGAAGTGAAAATTTGTTTTATGGAGGTCTAACGTGTTCTTCTGATTGATAAAAAGATCCATGATGATTGGGATAAGTTAATCAAGCTTATGAAAGATGCTTATGTGTGATTACTGAGAAAACTCACTAGAGGGAGGGTTGAGAATGTAAAGAAAATAGAAAAAGATCTTAATAAGATGCCAGTTTTTGGTATCCAAGTTACTGGTATGTAATATTACAATTATTTTTTTTTTCACTCAAAACTAACCATTTCTACTTTAGGAGAAACTATGGCATGTTGGATTATGACTATGTTATTTGGAGCCTTTTACTTTGTTCAACATCTTGGTTCAGTGCAAATTCCTATGAATCGAGGTCAATCTTTACTTGCCAGATTTATGGATGAATTATGAAAGTTAAGGGTAAGGCTATCAAATACAGAAAGTTGGATAAATAAACTCCTGGTTAATTAATAGAATTATTTGTAGGCATCTCTATAAAATCATATTCACACTCTTACTAAGATTGTAGAAAAAGTCGATGTGTCCTTATATAATATAGCTTTTTGTTCACCATAAGCTCAAGAAGATATGCTCCTTTACGATGGTGAGTTAGTAATATCATGATCATTATAACAAGATCTTACTGATCCAGGTATTAAAAAAAATAGTAGACCTCTCTACCATTAGGTTTTCACCTAATAATAGGTAAGTATGGAGATATTGTATAAATTAATATGTATTTTTATTGTATTGGTCATGACTTTGCTAATAAAGAATTTGAGTTGAGAGTATTATATATTATGTCAATATTTTCATGTGGTGTGTCTTGTATTGGGATAAAAAAGTTTATACATCGATTTTTCTATGCCTTGATATGAGCTTTGCTCTTAATGTAATGCATGGAACATGATTGAGTATTGAGTTGTACATTCCCAAAATAAATTATGTAATGACCTAGATATAGAATGATGTATTATTAATAAACTAGCTATCTTTCTATTACTTGGCTATATATGTTTCACGAAACACAGAGTGGTATTTCTCCAAAATACTTCTATATCGATCCTACCCGTGATGTGATTAGTTGATAAATTTCCAACTATTAACAGTTTTTTAATTATTCTGATTAGATGAACAAATAATAGAAGATCGATAGTATATTATAACATGATATAGCGAAATAAATTAAATATATTTTTATTACGTATTATAGTAATAAAAAATATCTTATAAATTACACGATCAGATTTTTAAGTATATTAATTTCAGTTCTGAAGAAATCCATCTCCTAATTATGAATGAAGATAAATAGCTTTTTTAGAAATTAATAACAGATTAGGAGGAGATGATTGATACTATAATGAATGAATATTGATTTTTACTTCATCACGGACATAACTATAAGGGCGAAAAATTAATACATATAATGTGGGTATATATATGTACTGAAAAAAGTGCTAAGAAAGTATTGATAGAGATACCTCTATTGAAAATATTATCTAGAAAGATTTTAGCCCACATTGAAGAATGATTCAAAGATCTTCCACTTGCACCAGTTATTATAGTTGATTAGATAGATTATTACTCTGAAATGCGGATACAGTTGGTATGCTTATTTTTATGATGTTTTCAGATAGGAGAAATAACCTTTTTCTTTTTAACATGAACATGACTCTTTCAAGATTTTATTGGATCAAGATCATACCAGCCTGAATCTATGAATTCTGAATCAGAGCTGGATGAATCAGTCTTTGTCTCAGATTTGTTGTGAAATATTCCATGATGTTTCTTTCATTGCTTATTATTATAAAATAATGATAATGCAGAGTATCGAATCTCTGATTCTCTTTCAAGTCTATCTTCGATATTTGAGAGAATTTTGTTAATTATATTTATAACCTCCTCTTGACTAGACCAGGTTTAGATTTCATTAATTTAGATAAGTTATTTTTAATGGAGCTGGCTTTATGGCTTGAAAAGTCACCTGTAGGTCTGCTATCTTCTTTGATTAATGGAATACTCATACCATCTATCTCAATTTTAGCATAGCACTTACAATTTTCCAGAGAAAATCCAAAGCTAATTTTTGCTTCGCGCATCTATAACCAATTCCATCCTAGTACCAAATCAAATGATGGATTTTTGTGAATTTGAAAATCTATTACTTCAGTACTATCTAAGCTTCACCACTTTCCTTTATACTGAAATTGCAAATCTAAGCATTTTATTTCACCTTTTACATCTCTATAGAGATTCTCAACAGGAACAGCTACTATATCCTCATAGAGATTCTTATCAAAATTACGTATTCCATAATCTTCTTCAAGCTTATCAAATAAGCTCTTGCTAATGATATTGGATTTAGATATTATATTGATTAATACTTTTACTGGGATTTTCCTCTCTACGAGTATATTGATGAAAAGCATGTCAAAAATTATTTAATAGTGTATATTATAACTGAAAAAATAACTCAGTAAATAATTATTGTAAAGCAATAACTCTTTGGATCTACCTATTTTTTGATACTAAATAAAATTATTTGTAACCCGTATTGAAAGATTCTCTCTGAAATAATTAATAATTGCAGAAATAAGATCTGTTTCATCTGATATATGACTCAAATAGTAGTTTCTAAAGGTCCTGGTTATAGCTATCTCATTTTGTCGATCAGTAAAGATTAGAATAAGTAGGGGTAAATCAGAAATGGAGAATTCATCATCAGAATAATCTGGAATAAGTGGGAGTAGATCAGAATCTGAGAATTCATCATCAGAATAATCTGGATATTTAATTTTAATTTTTGAATTAAATTTCTTTATCACTTCTTTGCTAATTTCTTTACATCTCTCCAAACTAAGATATTTCAAATTATTACAGTTGCGGACTATTTTCTCAAGAGCTTTATTACTAATCAAATAATTACCAAACTCAAGATGTTTAAGTTTTGGACAAGAATACGCTATTTCAGTGATACATCGATTAGTGAGACATATACATAAATTAAGACTTAGATGTAATAGCTTTGGGCAATATCTTGCAATTTTTATAATTGGTATATTAGTGAAACCCTTACTTTTATCAAGAATGAGAAAATATATATTTGGACATGAATGTAAAACTACACTGATCAATGCATCTGAGATTTTTAAATCTTCTAATCTGAGATATACCATCTTTAAATAATAGAGTGGCTTTATTTTTCTACACATAATTCTTTCAAAGTTTATCAATCACCAAGTAAGAATCTGAGACATATTTAAGACATGCTGACTCTGCTAATAATCTTCATTGAAAAACTCAACGTGATGCCATAGAATAGGAGTACTGTAATGATATCAAAAGCTGTTAACAAATAAAGCAGGATAGAGAGATCGATCATTTTCTAAAAAATATAAGATCTGTTCTAGTAATTCCAGTAAATCAAAAATATTTAGACTCTTTGGGAAATCAGAAATTTGATGCTTTGTATTATCATTGCTTCACAATAGTTGCGCTATTCTCAAGTAATGTATATTATATATCTTTAA